TTTAGTCACATCGCGATTGCTAGTATGGTTTCCATAACGTTTTACCACTTTATTCATTTCATGTGATCTAATCAGTTTTGAGTTGCCCTTTACTTCAATTCTGACATTGTAGTTCACAGAACCAATCCGTTCTATGATAACGCCAGGAACCCAAAACGTATCATTGCCTTGATGCCATTTAACGTTTACAAGGTCTCCATTCGAAAATTCTCTAGATTTTGCTCCGTGTTTGACATTAAACTGCTTTTCTTGTTTTAAATTTCGTTGTTTGATTTCCGTTGTTTGTGGCTTAGTTAAGTCTAACGTTGTTTTGATTTTCCGGTTAAGGAAGGCTTCTGCCGGAGATTTACGTTCTACCACATTCGGATTTGGTGTGGATCTATACGTTTGCAAAAATGTTTGCAAGTTTTCTGAATTCGTTCCTTCCATTTTTAATTGTTTTTAATGCCCTTTTCAGTGTATCTACGAACCGTTCCGCTTGTCCATTGGACTGGGGATGATAAGGCGATGTCCTTATGTGTTGAATACCCCGCGATGTTACGAATTGTTCGAACGCTCCGCTCGTAAATTGTGTGCCGTTATCAGAGACCAGTGTGTCACAATCTCCGTAACGTGAAAGCGTTTCATTTAGCTTGCTAATGATTGTTTGCGTTGTGATATTCTCTATTTGAAAAATTTCAGGCCATTTTGAGAATGCATCTACGATTACGAAGTAATAAAAACCATTGCATGGTCCTGCTATATCTATGTGTAACCGTTCCATTGGTTTTGTTGCTAACGGCCATGATCGTAGTGTATGTTTTACAGGCATTTTTGCTGCTGATGCACAAAGTTGACAATTTCGTGAATACGAGACTATATCTTCGTCCACACCAGGCCAATACACGTAACTCCTTGCTAACAATTTCATCCGTTCTCTACCTGGATGTCCTCTGTGTAATTGACGTAAAATTCGTGGTTGTAATTTCTTCGGAATCACTATGCGTTCATGAAACATTAGGCACTCTTGAATCACGCTGAGTGCATCTTTCCGTGCATAAAATGGCTGTAATTCTGGTGTTATTTCTTGCTTCCATCCATTTGATAATGCGTTTATGACAGCTTGGGCCGTTGAACATTGCTTTGTAGCTTTTCTTATCATTTCAAAACTCACCGGAAGTTTTTCACATTGGTCTTCAATAATCGTGTTCATTTCTTCTTCCATTTGCGTACAAGCTATCACCATGTCTTCGTCTTGCTTTGTGTGATTGGCTATAAGGCGCGAAAGCATGTCTACACATCCAAATTCTGTTGTTTTAATGTATTGGATATTGAAGTCGTACATTATCAATATTAGTGCCCATCGCTGAAGCCTATTTGCTGCGTACGTTGGGATGCCCTTATTTTTACCAAATATTGCGATTAGCGGCTTATGATCCGTGCACAATGTGAACTGACGTCCAAAAATAAATCTGTGGAACTTCTTTAGCGCAAAAACTAATGCTAAAGCTTCCTTTTCAATTTGCGAGTACTTTTGCTCTGCATCCGTTAAAGCTTTTGAGGCGTGTTGTATAACCTTCTCTGATCCGTCCGGAAAAACGTGACAAATAAACGCACCGATTCCTCTATTGGAGGCGTCTGCTGCCACTTTCAATGGTAAATTGGGGTTATAATGCGTAAGCATTAAATCTGAATTTAAAATGCGTTTGAATTGCTGGAAGGCTTTTTGGTAGGGCTGTGCGATTATTCGATTACTCGAGCAAGTTGGTTAATCAATTATTCGGTTAATCAATTACTCGAGTAATCAAGATTTTGATTACTCAAAACGATGATTAATCGAGTTACTTGAAATATGATTACTCAAAAAAATAATTTTGCTCGTTAAAAGAGTTTACTTTGGAAAAAGCTTATTTTCTTTTTTACATTCTGTATATGAAAAAATTTTTCGTTTTAATGTTTGAAAAGAGAAACGTTGTTTTCAAAGAATCAAGGAACTTTAACTACTTTATACATATGTAAAGAGTTGAAATGTTGATTACTCATTTTACTCGAAATGTTGATTAATCATAAAGCAAATTACTCAAATATTTTTGTTTTTGGTTAATCAAAAATCTTGATTACTCGAGTAATTGAACTTTTGAGTAATCATAATTTCCAATTAATCGAATAATTGAGTTATTTACTTTATGATTAATTAAAATTTTGAGTAATCAATTAATCGCACAGCCCTACTTTTTGGCAATCAGCTTTCCAATTAAACTTTTCATTTTTATGAAGCAATTTGTCCAAAGGTGCTCTGATTTTGGACATTTCTGCGATGAATTTTCCATAATAATTTACACTGCCCAGAAATGCTCTGACTTCTGAAATATTTTTGGGTTCTGGTAGTGCTAGAATCTGGCTTATTTTGGTGGGGTCAGGTTTTATACCTGTTTTGCTTAAAATGTTTCCCAAATATTTTACCTGTGCAGCAAAAAATTTGCATTTGTCGAACTGGACCCGAAATTTATACTTCTGTAGCTGTTGCGCCACTTTATGAAGGTTTTCGACATGTTTCTCAAAGGTTGCACCGCCTATAATGATGTCATCTATGTAAGCGACGGTGTCATCTATGCCTGCCAATATGGTGTCCATGATTTGTTGGAACGCTCCTGGAGCGCTTTTGATACCTGGTGCGAGTCGATTGAACGTAAACAGACCCATATGCGTGTTAATGGTGAGCAGCTTGGCTGTCTCTGCTGTGACGGGTACCTGTAGATACGCGTCTGATAGGTCTATTACGGTAAAACAATGACTTCCCGCGACCTTTGCGTAAATTTCTTCTGGCGTGTGCAGCGGATATTGATGGGGCTCTAACCATGCGTTCAGCCCTGATGAATAATCACCACAGATCCGAACCTTGCCAGACGGTTTCTTCACTGCGACGATAGGCGCTGCCCATTCAGAAAATTCTACAGGGGTGATAACCCCTAATTGATGTAATCTCTTTAGTTCTTCTTCAATATATGGTAGCATGGAATATGCTACTGGCCTTTTTGCGCGAAAAATTGGTTTAGCATCCGCCTTTAGATGCAATGCTGATGTAACTGTGCTACAACTTTCCAGATTTGGCTTGAATATGTCCGCATAGTCTTGCTGTATATGCTTCAAAATAGTAGATTGTTGATCTTGAACCGATATGATGTTGTTACAAATGAGATTGAGAGGCTTTTCCCAAATATGGAAAATGTCACACCAGTCAACACCTAAGATGTTCAAAGAATCAATATTTGTTACGAATAAATTACAGTATTGTACTTCCCCGTTTAGCCTAGCTTCACAAGAAAATTCGGCTAATAGTTGAATCTTATCTTTTGATGCGCTGGTAACGTATTTGTTCTCCAACCGTATTCCCGGTTGACCCATTTGTATCCATGTGGACTTTCCAATTAGCGAGACGTCCGAGGCGGTGTCCACCTGCATTCTGACATCACACGACGGAAACGATGAAGTTGCGGTTTCTATCGGCTTTATGCTTACTGTTGTGTATTTGCGTCGATTAACATGCGTTATTGAATTTACTTGTAAGCAACTGTTGTGACCTTTGTTGCTCGTTTGTTGTTGCTTGTGTCGCTGAGGTTTTGTGCTTTTGCTTTTGCTGGCGCTGTATGAATTACAGTACCCCTCCTTATGACCGTATTTGTTGCACTTGTTACACTTTTGATTGCGATATGTACAATATTTTGCATAGTGCATGTCTCCGCAATTCCAACAGGGTGTTTTTGGAATCTTCGCTTTATTTGTTTTGCTATTTTTAGTTGCATCGTTCTTGCTTTGGCGTGTATTTGCATGTATTGCGTTGGTTATTACGGCTTTTGTCTCTTCCACCATTGCTGTATCTTTCTTTAGATTGATGAATTTTTGCGCATGGCTTACCAGAGAGTTTAATGTTTGCTTTGAATCTTCTTCTAGTTTTGCCAATATTTTTATACGAATGTCGGCTTCTGTGTGTGCTTGCAACCCAAATACATAGATGAGGCATTTGAATTGATCTGCCGAAAGTTCCGACAGTCTAAATTTTTCACATTGAGCATTGACCCTGGCTGCATACGATACCAGGTCTTCCTGTTGATTCTTACTAATTTGCAAACATTTGTATCTTATACTGAAGAGCGATTCATTTGCACCGAACATTTCTCCCAGCTTGGAGACTGTTTCTTCGAATGTGAAATCTCGTGGATTTTTTGGTAAAATATATGTTGCATACTTGTTATACGCAATTGGATTTAGCTTCCTCATTAAGAGGCGAACACGTGATGCTTCGTCCAAATCTTTTCCATCGACCAAGAAAACGTCTTCGTGACGTGCATACCACGTGTCGAATGTGAGTGCGTTTGTGGCATCATAGCAAAATTCTGCTATGCTTTTTGCCAATGACTCCATCAACTGTTCCTTTGAATTTTCTACTGGCTGCTTTGATCTTTGAGTCAATTGCTCCAGTAATTTGCTTTGCATCTGCAACAGTTTCATAAGTTCCTCTTGTTCTGGCATTTTCGCTTATGTTCCTACTTTGCAGTTTTGTAGGTTATGAGACCAAATTTCCTCGTCGCCACCTGTTGTAATGTGTGGTATGATCCACCTGT